GAGGGTGGATTTGTTGTATAACAGAGAAAAGGTAAAGAAATCAATCAGCTGAGTGCAATAGATCACATAAGGCAAGGGTGGGCAACAAAGAGATAAACCGCAGCGGAGACAAGAGTCAAAATTTAAAGGGGAAAGCAACAACTAGAGCCAAGCTATGGCATGAATGCACATATACAGGGAAATGAATAAACAAATATGTGAACTTTAAAGAAAAATGGAAAACAAATGGAAAACGACAGTTAGTATCAACAAGACATGCTCTCCCTCCTTCCCCCTCCCTTCCCCCCCCCAAGGAGGAGGGGGGGGGTTTGCTCGGCTTTGTAGCTCTGCCGCCCACAATTGAGTGAGCTGAGCAAAAGCAAGCTGCAACACAGCAGCCCAGGAAAGGAAACAGCCAGAGGGAATTTCATCACCCTGCGCTCAGCCAAACAGCTGTGCGCTCAGAAGTAAAAATGAGTGTGCCTAGCGCACAGGACTCACCTTAAAGGGAACACACTTCGGAGCATGCATGGCCAACCTGCCTGGCCGCGGCACTAGAGAGTGAAGAGGCGCACCTCCCCCCCCCCATCCCAGGGCTCTGAGTCTCCATAGCAGCACAGGCTGGGGAACCCCTCCCCCCCCCCCCAGCTTGTGAAGCCATTCCACGTGCAGCAGGCTCCAGCTCCTCCAGACTGAATGGAGGGCTGCTGGGAGCTGGGGGGGAGGCTTAGTTTCTAGGAAGCAAGCCCCCGCCCTGACTTCCCTCCCAGTCCCAACCAGTGTTCCCTCTAACCTGAGTTAGTGTGAGCTAGCTCACAGTTTTTTAGCCTCCAGCTCACACATTTATGTCTTAGCTCAGGAAGAGATGGCTCCAGAGCAAACTAACTTATGCAGTGGCCAAATCGCTTGCTCACAACTTTAATGCCAGTAGCTTACAAAGTAGAATTTTTGCTCAGAAGACTCCACAGCTTAGAGGGAACATTGGTTTCAACCCTTCTGACAGAAAACAGAGGGGGAAAACCCTACATTTTCAAAATGGGGCAGGGCGGTGGTGGCAAGGCTGTGTCTGGCACTGGTTGGAAGGGGGCTCAGAAAGTTCGGTAGGGCGCCGGCTCCCCAGGCCCTGCGAAGATGATGCCTATGGATCAGACCATCCCAAGGTTGTTTTTTTTAAAAAAATAAATTTTATTGAATTTTATACACAAACATAATAAACATATAAAGTATGTATGACCACACAGGGGAAAGTCCATTTTTAGCCCATAGCAAACCCGTTTGCGACTGGGTTTTCCCCAGTGTCTTTTTACTCCACTTCTGCAGTGGAGCAAAACTGATGTTGGCGTCTTATCCTGCCCTTAAAATCCACCCAGCATTTGTGCCTATGGCGCAGCTAATTCTGCATGTGATCAGCAGCTTTGGAGGTTAGATTGGGGAAAGGGTAGTGTTGCAAATCTCCAGATGGTGGCTGGAGATCTCCCGGGATAACAACAGATCTCTCGGTGACAGAGATCAGCTCACCTGAAGAAAATGGCTGCTTCGGTATCTGTGGCATTCTACCTGACTGAAGTCCCTCCCCTCCCCAGACCACGCCCTCCTCAGGCAGCACCCTCCAAATCTCCAGGTCTTTCCCAATCCAGAGCTGGCAACTCTAAGGGTTTAATGTCTCCTCTCCAACAGCACTGCTCCTATCAAATTTGGACCTCATGCCACACCTCTTTCCAAGGCCACATCCATGGTGGATGACAGAATTGGAAAACAATGCAATAAATATAATAAAACATCCAACAAACAATGTAATAACAAACCTAAAATCACATTCCAAAAACGTTTATTAATTAGATGTAATTTTGACCTGCATTATTTCTTTAGAAACTTTTACCCTGCACTTCCAAATAGTGCAAAGCGGTTTCCAATAAAATCAGCCAAGATATACAAATCATGCACATGTCCAAGCATAAAAACAGAGCTGCATTTTGTTCTTTACTTCATTTATTGTTTGCTTTTCTTGTTGAGTGGATTATGGAATTATAAACAATGCAATTAGACAGTACAATACATCCAATAAACAATGCAATAAAACTGGATTATATAATCCAAGATAAATTAAATATATATATAGTACATCCAGGAAATGATGCAATACGGGAAGGGGGGACGGAATTGCCTAAAACATTTCACAGACAATTTGTTGTCGAAGGCTTTCATGGCCGGAGTTCATTAGTTGTAGATTTTCCAGGCTGTATGTGCGTGGTCTTGGCATTGAAGTACCTGACGTTTTGCCAGCAGCTGGGACTGGCATCCTCAGAGGTATAACACAGAAAGATGGGGTACTTTTTGTGTCACATTGACACAGAGAGTACTCCATCTTTCTGTGTTATACCTCTGAGGATGCCAGTTCCAGCTGCTGGTGAAACGTCAGGTACTTCAATGCCAAGACCACGGCCATACAGCCTGGAAAGTCTACAACAACTATTCACAGACAATTAAAACTGTAAACCTTATTCCCTTTATTAAAAGTGCCCTCTTGAATGATTCTGTTTTATCACATCTCTATTTGTTTTATTAAATTGCCCCCCTGGACAGGTCTGTTTTAAGGATTTTCAAGAAAAACACTCTGGAATAATAAGGCTTTGCTGACTGGTAAAGATGGAATCTTTTGTATTCCCATTACAAAGAATAGATAAAACAATCGGAAACACCAAAGAATATACAGTGGCAGCATGAGTCTCCTTTAAAGAAGATATGTTGAACAGAAACTGCTGGATGGATTAGATCTGGTACTACAGGACTTATTTTATATATCTCAAAGCTCCTCCCAACTTCAGAATTTAATGTGCTATAACTTTAACTTTTTAAAAACATGTCAGAAGTATTGGGAGATCACAGAAGAATATTTTTGGGGTATACACACACACACACTCCACACACACACTCCACACACACACACACACAATACTGGCTGTACTAAATTGTCTTCATAACAGAGGACAGCAATGAACCGTGGGTAACATATTTGACCTTATTGCAGAGTAGAAAACACATCTTAGTTACATCACTAGATCTGGAGCAATGCCCCCTCTAAGCTGTGGAGTCTTGTGAGCAAAAATTCCGCTTTGGAAGCTCCTGGCATTGAAGTTGTGAGTGAGCGACTTGGCTGCTGCATCAATGAGTTTGCTCTGGAGCCGTCCCTTCCTGAGCTAAGACAGAAATGTGTGAGCTGGAGGCTAAAAAACGGTGAGCTAGCTCGCACTAACTCAGCTTAGTGGGAACACTGATCTGGAGTAATGATCAAGATCTGGCCCTGGACATTGTCAGAGACGTCCCTTTGAGGAAGACTAGTCAGGCCAGGATCTAGGAAGCCATCCGACTATCCACTTACCTTGGTTGCCCGCCTTTTATCCACCAGAAAAGGGGGAGAATCCATTAAATAGGATTATTCTCCCACAGAATAAAGAGTGGATCTGAAGCATTGTCTTTTTGTGTTTTTTAAATTATAAAAGCATATATATCTATAAAAATAACTGGCAGGTTTTAAAGAATAAGCATGGGAAAAGATACAGCAGATTTTTTTTTTGTAGTATAATTTCAGGCTTTCTCCCTCCCTGGTTGATTCTACCTCCTCTTTAAAGCTAAAAGTTCATGAAAACTTTCCAGAAAGCTGCACAGAACACTATGCTAAACTGTTGTGACTCCATTGACACCAACAATTTCAGCAGGCAAGATTAGCTCCTTCAGACAGGGACAGTGTGACCTTCAAAATCTCCACAGTTTGTTTTCAGAAATGCCGAGCAAGGCAATGGAAACTTTAAAGTCCTCAAAACCCAGACAACCATGAGAATACATCATCTAGGGGAAAGATGTAAGATATTGTGTGTGCTAACTTCAACCCATATGAAGGTGTTGATCTACCAGAATTTTAGAATATTTCCTATCTAAATAGACTGTGGGCATGGTCTGACACTTAAGTCTTGTGCGGGGGGCGAATTTGGTGTAGATATCCTCATTCTCCACAGGCTCTTCCTGTGGCAAGTATATGCAGGGCTTTTTTTTGTAGAAAAAGCACAGCAGGAACTTATTAGCATAATAGGCCACACCCAACAGCAGAAACTCATTAGCATATTGGGCCACACCCCTGACAGCACAACTAATTGGAATATTAGGCCACACCCCATGCCTTCCCTTGTCTTGCCTGGGCACCCCGCGGCTGTGGGGCACCCGGGCAAGCCAGTCCTTGGACAGGCTGGGGAAGGCACAGAGAGGAATTTAAATGCCTCCCCATTCCTTCCAAGAGCCCCCCTGGCCCGCCTGCCTCGGAGTCGTGGGGGGGGTCGCTCTCCAGGCCTTCCCTCTGTAGCCCGGCACGCAGAGGTTTTGGCTGTAGTGGGCGTAGCCAACTCTGAAGCCAGCCGGAACTCCGTTCCTGTGCGTTCCTGCCCAAAAATAGCCCTGAATATGTGTTTAATTTTTATGCTAACCTGCAGATTATGCTGTTGTATTGGATAAAGCCAGTAACTAGACTTCCTAAAACAATCTCTGTCTTCCTTAAGAGTACAGGCTCTACATTAGTCAGGTTCTCCTTAGATATGTTACAAAAGGATAACAAATGTTCACATTGCGAAATTAATTTATTTGACACTGTTGGAGTAAGCATACATTTTTAGTCTGTTTACTGGCATCTGATGAAAGCATTATCTGAGAAAAAAAAACATATTCTTCTGTATTTGTGCTATAAAGTAAGGGAGACCAGATCAGCCTCAGCTTTCAGCAGAGCAACTGGAGTTTCTCAAGAAAATTTAAGAGAAGCTGGTTTTGGACAACCTCCAGATCATTCAGGTTCTCTGTGTAACCGAGACATAGACCCCACTGATAACCAACATGTTCATGTATGTGTTGTGTCTTTACATTCTCCACAGGCCCAGAAGACGACACCCCAAATGGGAGGGATGTCTTTGCAGAGTGACGAGTTGTCTAACCTATTTAACACCAGTTATGGTTATGGTTATTATGACTACACCGATTTCCCTAGCAGTGCAGCGGCACCGTGCAGAATTGACAGTACCTCAGCTATATTCAAGTACTTTGTGGCATTCGTCTATGTTGTGGTATGTCTTCTGAGCCTGGTGGGCAACTCCTTGGTGGTGCTGGTGGTCACCTACAACAAAGGAAGCCGTTCTGTTACCGATATGTATCTCCTGCACCTCGCCATTGCCGATTTGCTCTTTGCACTCACGTTGCCATTCTGGGCTATTTACCGAGCTCATGAATGGATTTTTGGCAATGTTATGTGCAAAGCCACTTCGGTCCTGAAGGAAGTCAACTTCTACAGTGGCGTCCTCCTGTTGGCCTTTATCAGCATTGACCGTTACCTGGCAATAGTTTACGCTACACGGGCAGTCACGGAGAAGAGGCACTGGGTCAAATTTCTGTGCTTTGGCATCTGGCTTTTTTCTTTTCTTATTTCCTTCCCCATGGTTGTCTTCCGTAATGCCTTCCGGGATAACTCTTCTTCAGTAGTGGTTTGTTATGAGAATATTCAGGGGGGAAAAACATCTGAATGGAGGGTGATATTGAGAATCTTGCCACAAGTGTTTGGCTTCATCATTCCTTTGATCATCATGTTGTTGTGCTATAGTGTGACTGTACACAGACTCCTACAGACCAAGAACAGCCAAAAGACCAAAGCCATGAAAGTAATCATAGCTGTAGTGCTGGTCTTCCTGCTCTGTTGGCTGCCCTACAATATCTCTATTCTTGCTGACACCCTGATGAGGGTGGGAATTATTGCCGACACCTGTGATCGTCGTAAAAGCATCGATCTCGCTCTTTCAAGCACCGAAATCCTGGGATTCGCTCACAGCTGTATAAACCCCATCATATATGCCTTTATAGGGCAGAAGTTCCGGAACAACTTCCTCAAGTTCTTGGTTGCACGAGGCATCATCAGCAAAACTGTCATGTTACGGTATAGGAAGGGATCCGCCTCATCTACCTCCGGTATTACTTCAACAACCCTCTGATAGCGATGCCTAGCAGACGCCGGACAGGATCCCTGAACAGTGTTCTACAACTGTTAAGATGAAGTCGTCGGCTGTAGAATTCAGAGACTGAGGTCTGAATAACTCAGTGATGCCACTGAGATGTTTCTGGAACTGCAGTTGACTCTGGTAGCCTTGATCTGACAGTGCCCATTAAAGCCCCGAGAAAGTTCTGCCTGTTTGTCATAAAAGCAAATATGCTCCTCTGCAGCCCCAAAGAGCTTTCATCAAACTAATCTAAATATTCAGAATTATGAGTCAAGAAACAAGTAAAATGTTCCCATATTAACAGGAAACTGGTTTTACACCAAAAAAATTTACGAGTTTTTATCCAAACAATGCAGAGAAACATACAGAACAATCCTAAACAGTTGCACCCTAATAAGCACACTGACTTCCATGGACTTAGTAGAGTATAAATTGCACTGTAATCAGTGGGCCTAAAGGATCTCCCATCCTTCCAATTACTTCTGTTCCACACGGAACTAGTGATAAAATTTTGGATGAAGGCGGCCATCATTTTTATCTGAGTAGTATTACAAATAGTGAAAAATTTGCAGCCTTAATTTCCCATTTACCCTGATGGTTTTTCATAATTTTCTTTTCCATAGCCTGTTTCTTGTATATTATTAAACAGAATATATTTGCATCATATATTTGACTAGATGTATGAATTTACTGTGCAACCTTTTTGTGTGTTCTGTGATTGTTTCCATGTGGGATCTATGGGGGGGGGGGAAAGCATTTCTAGTTTGATGAACTCAGCTGGAGCCTCTTAATTTCTGTTATTCGCTTGTGCTAAACTTCTGCCTGGGCTGGTTTTTCATGGATCTGTACTTCTCTCTTCCGTTGGGTGGCCATGAAAGACAGAGCCTAATGCCGTGCCTTATCTGCAGAAAGCCTGCTCCTTAACTCCACTGCCCCTCTCCTCTGTGCAAAACTTGTTAACTTTCTAGTGAAAATCTTTGTTTATTTTCTGAGGCATTTGTAAATTGTTGATATTTGGGGATATTCAATGATTTATGATTCTATGCTAAGCAGGTCTATTTATTTAGTATTCTGCTCAGGTCTATTTAATAGGGCTTACTCTCAGGAGAGTGTTCTTAGGACTGCAGTGTTAATTCAACTATTTGAATTTTTGCAGCTTTTGTGCTGGTTGCGTTTGTGCTGTTCTTGTTTTGTGATTTTATGCTGTTTTTGTTGCTTTTATATTTTTTCATATTGCTTTATTTGTTCCATTGTATCGTGTGCTCTTATTTGGAAACTACTTCAGACAGGTGGTATATAAATACATTAAAGAAATGGACTATCATAGATTCATGGAACTGGAAGGGACCTCCAGGGTCATCTAGTCCAACCCTCTGCACAATGCAGGAAATTCATAAATACCTCCCTCCCCCCCCCAGGGACCAGTGTTTCCTCTAAGCTGAGTTAGTGTGAGCTCGCTCACAGTTTTTTAGCCTCCGGCTCACACATTTTTGCCTTAGCTCAGGAAGGAGGGCTCCAGAGCAAACTAGTTTATGCAGTAGCCAAACTGCTCGCTCACAACTTTAATGCCAGTAGCCCACAAAGTAGAATTTCTGCTCACAAGGCCCCACAGCTGAGAGGGAGCGTTGTCAGTGACCCCTGCTCTATGCCCAGAAGAGGTAATCCACAGGGCAGAGCTCTGGCTGACCTCTGTAGCAGGCCCGTAGCCAGGATTTTTTTAGTCAGGGGGCATTTAAATTTCTCAGGGGGCCCTGGCTAGTCAAAATAAAGGTCATTTAGTGTGGTCCCTCGCACTGGTCAGCTGCACAGGAATACCCGGCTCCTTCCCTGCACCCGCTGCCACTCAGGGGCCTTGAGCTGAATGGGGAGTCTGAATGGGGCCTGGGCAGGAAGTCAGGGGGCCAGGCCCCGAGATGCCCCACTGTAGCCACGGGCCAGCTCTGTAGCCTGCACACTGTTGATGCAGAATGTCTCATGTACAAGTTATTTGAGATCCCCCCCCCCCACCGCCCACAGACACTCTTCTATTGTACGCAGTTCTGCCAGAAATACAAACTGGAAGGGAAGGGAGCAACTGTGTAAACATGTGTTCTGACTGATACGCAATAAGTGAAGTGATATCTCACTGGGTAAGATAGTGGTCAAATAAAGACTTCATCATTATCTACTTCATATTTCTTAAATTCCTGTAAGTAGAGCAGTGGTCTCCAATGCGGTGCCCATGGGTGCCCGGGAGCCCACTGATACGTTTCCTGGTGCCCACTGGCTTCTTCCCCAGCCCAGTTTCCCCTCAGAGCAAAGAGTCACGGTGTTGGATCCCAAGCATTAAAATAACTCCACGGCCTCAGGGAGGTGTCCTCTTTGGGTCTGCAGGAAGCATCAATTTTGAAAAAGCTGCTTCCAACACAGGAGGATGCTGATCTTGGAACCTGGCAACATTTTGTGAACAAATCCAATCCTCACGGCAGCCAATTTGTGATCGGTACCAGCACCTCCAATGGCAGCCATTATGAAGTGCTGCCTACCACCTTCCCCCCCAAATTCAGGTCGTGCCAACAGGCTGATGTGTAGCATATCATGATTTTTATTAGAACACTGCCAGTTGGTTTTATGATAGAGCTGAAACTTCTCCAGTTTGGTGTTGTGATTAAGTGCGCGGACTCTAATCTGGGAGAATCGGGTTAGAAGAAGAAGAAGAAGAAGAAGAAGAAGAAGAAGAAGAAGAAGAAGAATGACAATGGCAGCTAGCTGACACACGGCCGACTTCGCTCCACCTCACTGGAGCAGGAAGGGCTTCAGAAGGCCTCAGGGAGGCGTCCTCTTTGGGTCTGCAGGATGCATCAGTTTTGAAATAGCTGCTCCCAACACAGGAGGATGCTGATCTTGGAAACTGGCAACATTTTGTGAACAGCAGCCAATTTGTGATCGGTACCAACACCTCCAATGGCAGCCATTATGAAGTGCTGCCTACCACCTTCCCCCCCAAATTCAGGTCGTGCCAACAGGCTGATGTGTAGCATATCATGATTTTTATTAGAACACTGCCAGTTGGTTTCATGATAGAACACCAGTTTGGTGTGGTGGTTATCTGGGAGAACCGGGTTTGATTCCCCACTCCTGCACTTGCACCTGGCTGGATGACCTCGGGCAAGCCATTGTTCTGATAAGAGCTGTTCTTGAAAAAAGAGCAGTTTCTGTCAAGAGCTCTCTCAGCCCCACCTACCTCACAGGGTGTCTGTTGTGGGGAGGGGAAGGGAAAGGAGTTTGTAAGCCGCTCTGAGACCCCTTTGGGTAGTGAAGGGCGGGGTATAAATCCAATCTCCTCCTCTTCTTCTTCTCCATATGTAACAGTACAACTATTTGGATATGTTTACACTTTTGTCTTATTGTCCTATTTCAAAGCACATGCCATTGAAGAACTTCATATTTTGCATGTTTCCTACAAAGAAAACAACTCTATGCAATGCATAAAGTGAAGGCTATGGGTTAGATCTAGACCAAGCTTTCCACTAAAGGAAGGCACTTCTGTCAACAGATCAGACCTTTCCTGCCTCTTCCCCCTCCTGCTGCAGGCCATGGGTCTCCCTGAAATGCTTCTCCTGGGGCAGAAGGGATCTTCAGGAATTACGTGAGGACAAATCGGGGGTCTGCGACAGGAAGGGGGAATTGGCAGAAATTACATCTGCCTTTCCATTAGCAGAAAATTTAGTCTGGATCCAACCTTGTTTGCAGATTGTTACATGTGACAACCAGGGGTCATTTCGTAGAAAAAAAGGTGCAGGAGCTCATTAGCATAACTCATTAGCATAACTTATTTGCATATGCCACACCCCCTGACATCACTGGAAGCATGTCAGAAGGCAACACCCATCACTCAGGCTCCACTGGACTGTTTTGGATTGCTAGCTATTGGGGGGGGGGGGCGTGCAGATCTGTCCTCACAGAGGAGGGAGAGCTTGTACCTGAATAAAACTTGGTCTTAAAGGTGCCACTGGACTGATTTGGACTGGGGAGCCAGGGTGGCTCTGCAACTTACCTGGCTGCTTCTTGCTCTGCCTGAGGGCTGCTGGGAGCAGGGGGTGGGGCTTGTTGCATGTGACCGCCCCTTGGGCTCTTTACTGCTGGAGCTCCGCTCCTGTGCGCTCCTGCAGGAAATGACCCCTGGTGACAACCACATTTATGTACACAGCGCAAGTTCATTGTGAATCTCACCCAATTGCCGCTTCCCAGCTCATGTAGTACAACTAGTGAATAACAACCATGTGCACAAGCCATATGTGACAATCTGCACATGGGTTTCATTCTGTTTCTTCCACAAATCTGATTTGCATGTAAGACCTCTGTAATGTGTGAAGTGGCTGTGAGTTATTCAGCTGTTAGGTCATGCTTTTATAGGAGAGATTGCTACAGATCAGTGTCAGACTGATGTAGGAAAATCTAAGAGTGGGGGAAAGGAATTTATGTGAGTTATAATAGTCTTGAATCCCAAAGTAAAATGATGAGTGTAGCTGTTGATAAAGGCCTGGGTTTGCAATCTGTGCATGACAGAACATATTACACTATTGCTCTGTACAGTATTAATAAGAAGCAGTGTGATGGATAGATTAGATTTCTTGTAACTCCAGAAGTCAAAAATTCCTTTCAACATAATACTTTTGCTTCTGAAACTGGAGGTGTGGGAAACTTTTGTTCTCCCATAGCATTTGATCTTTGTGTAAAATTAATGTTCTTATGGAAAAGATTGTCTAAAACAAATTACAGTGTAGGCAACTTTGCCATTAAATAGACCTTATAATCCCTATGAATGTGTGCACAGCTTTTTTTGGAAATGAATAAAACAGTGAACTACATTTTGAGATGTGTTCAAATGGGCTCACGTCGGTGTTTTCAGCTGGCTAGCTGTGTTCCTGTCCTCAAAACAAAAGAGAATGGTTTAAGTCAATTTGAAATTTTATTTTTGTAAGCAACTATTGGAAGGTAGTTTGACCAGAATT